TATGGTTTAGACGGTAAAATGGAATGCAGTAAGATTAATTTGAAGCTTCTTGTACAATTTGGAAAGAAAGGAGAAAAGAGCATTACCTGACTGGTATGTAAATGAAAGTTTACTTAGTAGCCATTTATTAGGTGTCCTGTTTGTTGGAAGGAAATGCGTATGGTCGAATGTCGGAAATGTGTGCGGTCGAATGTTGTTATGGAGGATATTTTTTACTGTTATTTTGTTAATTTATATGGCAATGCCAGTATATAGATTCTAATTCAGATAATCTTACAAAGTTTTTGGATGCTGTTAAGGAATTTCGTTTGACTGAAGACGTGTTAATTTGTAAATAATGTAAGTGGATATTTCCTTTGTGTAGTGCAAAGAAGAATTTCCTTTTTTATGTTATTTCATTGTTTGATTTAAAATGTAGTTTATTGAGATTGTATATATTTTTGTTGGCTGCGCCTTTAACTTTTTAAAGTGAATATAGTTCGATGTATATATGACAAAGTCAAGGGAGTGTGCAAAGCCTAGTTAGTGCAGTTCTTTGATTTTTTTTTAAGTAAAAATATTTTGATGTGCACATGGATAAAGTCAAGGAGTGCACATTGCCATTTTTGTGCACTTCTTGGATTTTTTTTATGCGGGAATAGGTCAATGTGTACGTGGATACAGAGTTTGTGCTATTCTTTGTCTTGTTATTTTGGCTTTGTGTAGTGGCAATTTTTAGCACAAAAATCAGTGCTACACAAGCCAAAATAACATGTCAAAGAACTGCACAAACTTGGTATCCATGTACCGCCAAAAATCACAAAGTTTCACCAAGGGGTACCCGTAAATATATTTTTACCAAGTTGCCAACATAGGTGAATAATTTTTTGTTAAGATAAGACATGAAAGGCAAGAGCCATTTTAAAAAATTGTGGCACACTAAGACTTATATAAAACAGCAACAAATTGAAAAAATTAAAAATACAAAATTCATGCATAATTTTTTTGTGCTGCTGTCCTTATGTACATAGTGATCTGTTTTAGCTTCAAAAAACAGAGAACTGCACATACCACTTCGCAGTGGCGTAGCTAGAACTCTTGGGCACCAGTGCAAAAAATGTTCTTGCCCCCCCCCAAGTAAATTTACTGTGCTTAACAAAAGGGGGGAAGAAAGTCTAGCTTTGCGGAGACTTTTAAATAAAATCCAGTAGGTTTTACATGCAAGTATATTTAGAGTTTCTATATAAAATCTGTGCCAATCCAAGTTTTTTTCACTTAATTTAGCAAGCTAGTAAATAACTGGTTATGTTATAAACTGACAGACACCATGATAGGTAAATGTATAAAAAAAGAAGTTACACTAATATATAGCGCTCTGTGATCGACTGAGCTTACGAACATGACTTATGCAATAATATATGTCATAAATAAGAACTTTTATAATGTAAATGATACATTTGTTAAATATAAAACATATTTATCATAAATTTCATAAAGAAAACTATTTGAACATGCAATTTTTGTAGAAAATATGCATGGTAAAGTTTTCCCCCCTTTCTTTTAAGACAACTTTTTGGTACACTAAACTACTCAAATACATGATTTTTGTATGTGTTTTAAGTTTAAATATGTAAATGTAGTTCAGCAGGACATTCATGGGCCCCTTAAGCCTTCGGGCCCCTATGCGACTGCATTCCTTGCATACCCTAATTTACGCCATTGTTGGCACTGTGAGCATTGTTGTTCTCTCCATATACACAACAATTTCTTTTCGCTTAAAAAACAAATCAGGTAATTACACAAATTTGACACTGCATACACTATTGTTCTCGCATGTACACAACAATCTGTTTCTGCTTAAGAAAAATAACAGAATTGTTGGGAAAAATGTTGAGTAAAAAACAAAAAAAACCATGCCTTTACTTCGTGAAAACAAAATGGCATCAAAAAAAAAAAAAAAAAAAAAACTAGTAGGTTGCTGTAGCAGGGTTCGTCGCCAAATTTTCGCCAAAAAATCGTTAAGTTACCATAATCCAAAGATTAACCAATACCTTTTTCTTCTATTTAAAATGAATTTAATAATTATTATATTTTTTATATTTTCTTAATATAACTATAATTAAATTGATGAATTAATTAAATTAACATTAATCTGAATTTAAATTTATTATTTAAATATTTTAATTTTAAGCTATTTTATTTATTTTTCCCCCCTTCCTCACAGTCTTCCATAAAGCTCCGGCGCACTTCTAATTTTAGAAATTAAGCACTGCCGATGAGAACTGTCAATACAAGAAAGCTGCACACATGCATATCTGGATTGCCAGATAAACAAATACATTTCGACAATGTCGTGGGTTGTCTATTGGGTGAGTGCAAAAGTTCTACCCGTTTTTGGATGTGCAAATTTGCAATGGCACATCACACATGACATTGTAATGATGAAAACTGTCAGCCAATCAAACGTGTCGATGTCGTGGCATAGCTAGGGTGGAGCAAGGAGGCACATTTGCCCCCGGGGGGCAGCATTCAAGAGGCGCCAAATTGATGCTACGAAATTTTTTAATGAAATGTTTTCCATTCTTGACACACAGAAAAGGGTGCAAATTCTTCAGTTGTCTCCAGGAGGTGAAAACTCTAGCTACACCCCTGTGTGGATGCCTCACATATAAATGCATCATGTCTTGCTTAGTTAATCATCTCAAAAAAAAATCTCAGAAGGTGTAACATGAAAAGCGAGAAGGAGTATACGATATTGACCAAGCCAATACAGAACAATTGTGTAAGAATTAGCGGAGACCTACAATGGTCAAGAGACAGGTGGTTAAGTTGGGTTTTACAAGAAAGTTGGATCATTGGGCTCCACATAACCTGACAGCTAATCAACGGGATGACCGAATTGCCACCTCTGTTTCCTAGTACAAAAACAACCCATTCTTGACACAAATTGTGACAAAAGATGAGAAGTGGGTTATATACAGGGTTTCCACTGCACAACCTGTCACCTGTAATTACGATTGTGCATCACGATACATCTAACATTTCCACTATAAATAGTATATTTCATTTGCAGCTTGCCTAGTGCATGCATCAGATCTTTCACTAAATGAACTAGCTTGATCTATAGTCACTGAATATATTGAAACAATAAAGATCACCAGCGACTTCAACAGATGAAACCTCGGGAAGAACTGATGCCCGCACTGCTATACTCTGCTATTTGAAGCCTATCCCACTCTATGCTAGCCATGTATCAGCAGATACTGCTGCTCATAGTGGTTATAAGCAACACTGATTTCCGAACATTCTGTATTTTCCCACTTCCAGAAATTTTAACCTTCATCTTTGCATTATAAACTGATAGAAAATAAATACATTTCTGTAATCTTTCATTCTTTAGACAAGTTGCAATTTTAATATTCAACAGTTTATAATGATCAATGCACTTATTATTACTCAAGAATATATGTATCTGACTAAGGTCTGCTTACTTTCAAAAATACAGAATGAGTTCCATGAAAGAAGGTAACAACATTATACATAATGCAGGATCTGCTTTACATATCAGGAAAAAACTGGAAAATTTCATGTTTCAGCATCGCAGGGAACAGCAACAATGATATAGCAATCAGTTTTCAGGAATCTAATTATTCAACCACTAGCAGGTTTTTAATTTATAAAATACATTTATTAGGTGAAAATTTTCTCAAGTCATTATTGTTTCCAAGCATGGTATTAATCACTAGTTTTTCTTCAAAGAAAAATAAAAGCATATAATGCTCTGATTATTACATTTTCTTCATGAAAAGTATTTAATATTTGAGAATGAGAATTGTTTAATAATATCTATGAATTTCACTTAACAAAAATACATTAGTTATTTTATGAGCATAAAAAAAAAAATTTGAGAAAAACCAATTACAAAAATGTAACACAAAAGTCTTCGTACACTTTAAAGAAATCTAGACCATATTAGTAAATACTGTAGTACTATAGCTAGTACTTTGTATGATATCTTCCATCCTCCATTAAAGTATTCCTCCAGTATATATATATATATATATTATATATATATATACTAATTTATTTCCTAAACAGTATTGATTAATGATTAATTATCTCCTAAGTGTAATTAAAGTAGAATTATTTTAAAAGTGTGCTCCATATTGGTAGTTATTTTGAAAGATTAATTGATTATATTATCTCCTAAGTTTAATTAAAGTAGAATTATTTTAATAGGTGCATCCATACTGGTAAGTTATATTTTGAAAGATGTTTGAAAGTAATTTGAAAGCAAAATGTTAATAATGTTTTAAGGGGACTGAGTTAAATCATCACGAAGAATAATTTACAATTGTAAAAGGAAAAATTAAAACATGTAATTATTGTCATGACGGAAATTAGTTGACTTTTCAAGGGGAACAACCAACTCCGTTCAATGAACAAAATGATAAAATACGTAAATATGAAAGTGTTCGTCTTACTCGAGTTATAAGTTAAAGCCAAACCGGCAATTCTAGTCAGGCCAAAAATTTTCCGCGAATAGTGCTACTCAAAGAACTTATTCTCATGAAGCATTTTAGTCAATTCAATTTGGAGTAAAAAATTAATTACTGTAGAGAAATCCTGTAAAACTCGAGTAACCGTCCCGACACTATCATTTTATGTATATATATATATATATATATATAATAAAAAAAATTAAAAAAAAAAGGAGTTTGTTTTATTCAAAATCGCATGGAGATGATATGAAATAATACCGGCCTTCTGATTCGAATTCAGTGCCGAGCTACATCACATTAGCATTTAAATTCTTAAAGTGAACGGACACTTTTGAGAATCACCGTGGTACCATAGAACTGCAACTAACATGACGCTGTCAAAAACGTTAGTTAAAGTATAGGGTAAGCTAATTGAATAGAAACTAACTTCAAACTTCGAAAAACCGTTTGGAAATTTTAATACATCGATGGAACTTTTCTACAAAGCATTCCTCAATACAGATTTGAAAATCAACTTACCCGACCTTCTTCTTTAGGAGGAATAAAGACAACTGCTGCAATACACACCAGTTGAAATATAGCACCGAAGAAAAGTCCGTAGCGTAATAACTCATCCACAATATCCGCCATTGCTATATCAACTAGAGCTGGAGCAAACCGCATGTATTCGTTACTGAGTAACGGGTACATCGGTTGACTCGAAGTACCGATTCGGTACTCACAAATTCATTTCGTTACTCGCATCTGTCGTTACGCATCGTCGTACGATGCGGTTTGTTCGAGTACGAATGATGCGGTTTCTATGCGAATACGAATGATGCGGTTGCTGTTCGAATACGAATGATACGGTTGCGTCACAATGCGCTCATATTTTTCATAGATAATTTTGAATTTTTTTGGGCATCGGGCAAACTCTTGTTTACATTATGTGTTTTAGTTGAAATACTATTTAGTTGTTGATATTTAAGAAAATGAGCAATTTTGATAGCGTGAAGCGTTATTTTGTATTTGCTTTTTACTATTGCTATTTATGTTTGTAATTTGAAAATTTAGATGATTCATCTTTTTTTTTTTTTTTTTCCCTTGAGCGTGCCATAGTCAGATTTTATTGATTTGAAATATTTATATACTGCACTTAGGTATTGTTTATATAAGAATATGTAGGTTAATATAGGTTCTTTACTTCCTTGTATCAAATAAAATGGTAGTAATTATTGTAATCGAGAAAACTTTTGGGTATCATATTTTAACGGAAATATCCGTTTTTGACGATTACGGAATCCATGTGAATTATTTTTTGGGCTGACGCCTGTACGTACGAACACAATGAAGGACTCTCTCTCTCTCTCTCTTTTTTTTTTTTTTTTTCAAAAAAACTTATTGTTAAATGTAATCCCATTTACTCTAAGCTGATACTTATGACTAATGATTATGACTTTAAGTTGATACTTGAAAGGGATTTTTTTCGTGATGTGTAAGTACGTATGTATGCATTTTGCATAACTCAAAAACGGTTAGTTATAGAACGTTGAAATTTTGTATATGGGTCCGTTATAACATCTAGATGTGCACCTCCCTTTTTATTGCAATCGGTAATACTACCAAACGTAAATATGTATATATATATCAAATAAATTATAATTAAATGTAAAAGTACACACACACACATATATATATATAATAAAAGCCAAGTAAGGCGAAAATAAAAGCTTTGGCTTTTATTTTATTTAATTATCACTAAATAAGTTACTTGACTTTTATTTTCGCAATCATTGGTTGTAGTCAGGACTTAATTTTTAAAATTAGAAGTGCTGGAGCTCTATGGAAGGCCATCAGGAAAGATGAATAAATAAATAAATAAATAAAATAAATAAAATAACTATTACAATAATAAAATAATTAGCAACTAGAATATTAAATGATTATTATTATAATTCAATAAAAATTTAAAGACAAATGAAAATTTAAATTAATGATGAATAACTAAGTAATGAATAAAAATACCAGACATCGTCTTGTTTGGGGGCTGTGGCTAAAATTGCAATTTAAGAACTAAGCCGAGCATTAGCTAAATTTAGGCTTTTGATGAGCAAATAATGTACTGTTTACCAGAGTATAGATAGAAATTTGGTTATGTAGCCCATTCTTCTAAAACGACGTTTCGTAGCTGCCTTCCACCACCAATTCCTTTTTTTTTTTTTTTTTTTTTCGGTTTCGGTTTATTCGGTTACAGCAAAGCACACTAGGGCTATTGCCTACGGGGAGGGAGGCCTTCGTGTAGGATTTTTTAAAGGGAACTGACTCATATGCAAGTTACACACGGGAAATAACAATGAAAACGCCCGTGCAGCTAGCCGTTAGCCGGGAATTGAACCCCGGACCGAACTATTAGTGCTCAGCGACTTTACCGCTCGAGCTCTGGTGGGCTCTTTTTTTCTTTTCATTCGCTGTTTGAAAAAACGGGTGTTCACTTTACGATAAAGTAAGCACCTGTTTACTTCAATTAAAATGGGTTAGACGATATGACTCTTCCTACTTTAATCTCACTTAGCTTTTGATTTCTAATATTGATTCAATGTTTTCTGTAGACAAAGTATTCTGATTAGAATAATAGATTTCAAACATGTTCAAAAGGTGTGTATCTGAATATAATTAGGTTTTTATAACATAGGGCCCATTTTATTAGTTTCACATAGTTCTAAAGCAATTGAACCACAGCATCGCTGTTTTGAAAGAAAGTAAAAATGTGAGAAATGTATAATGAACATTAATATACAAGCTTTATTAAAAGTAGTCAGCCTTTTAAAACGTGACCGTCTATGCTTTTAGAGGATTTTTGGAGCTCTGTGCATTTGCTCTGGCATCTTAAAAAAGTGATGTTCAATATCAACGTATGTTTATGTTCTCAAAAATACAGGTTTCTTTCAGAAAGCGACCTCTTAGAAGTCGTCAATAAATGATTCAGTATAGTTATTTTCTAATAGACCATAGAATAAATTTATTTTAACGTCAATTTAAAAATGGCTGCTTGTACTAAGAGTTAAGAGCAATAAGACTCTAATTTTTCTTTCGCAATTAGCTATCATGCCAGCTGAATTGTTTTCTGCATAACCTTTATTGTGTATAATTGAAATATTTAGCTATGCATTCAACAAATATACAACAAATGTAAGACAAATCATTAAAAAAAATTAAAATTTGGAACATTAATGATAATTTTTTTGTTATATACATAAAATATTATTAATGAATGATGAATTTATATCATATTATATATAAATCAAAATTTAAACTCCTATTCCTTTATAATAAATTGAAGAAAAGCTATAAAGTGAATTAATTTTTAAAAAACAAAACGAAAATTTAAAAAAAAAAATTTGTCATATACCTAGAATCTAAAAATGACGAATACTGAATTTTACGACTCATGTGTGTATGGGTGTATTTAATTATGGCAAGGCACACTATGGCTATCTGCCTAAGGGGGGATGCTTCGTGGAGGACTTTCTAAGGGAAACTGGCTCGTATACACGTTACACATGGGGAAAACCACGAAAAAACACCCATGTAGCCGGACCGTTCGCGGGATTCGAACCTCGGACCGAACTACCAGTGTTCAGCGACTTTACCGCTCGGCCGCTGGTGGGCCGTTTTACGACTCATATAATAATAAATGCATATTCATATTGTAACAGAAATTTTGTTAGAAGTCTAGCATATGTATAGTTATTTGTGATCTTTTAAAACTGTCGTAACATGATGCATATTTATCATTATCGTGAACCAAAACAGTATGCTTTACATCCTTACAAATATACGTGATAGATTTTAATATTTATTTCTGCATATACTTACGTTTCCCAAAGACACGAAAGCAAGTCAAGCAGATTTTTGTTGTATTAAGCAGACTTAAGTTCTCTGTTAGCTAGTGTAACATAATTTCGGATGTTAGTGTAACATAATTTCGGATTCTATGAGCCTTCCAGAATTATTAGCAAAATAGTGGAAACGTCTTTACAAAGTGTTTTTATAAGCAAACAGCAGATGTACACTGAGCAGTGATCAACTGATATATTTCTTAAATGATTTGGTTTAGTTGATTATGACAAAACACACTGGGGCTATGTGCCTAAAAGGAAAAATGCCTTCGTAGAGCACTTTCTTAGGAAAGCTGGCTCGTATGGTACGTGGTAAGCTGGCTTGTAAGCTGGTACGGGAAAAAAACCACGAAACGCTTATGAAGCCAACCCGTTTGCCTGAGATCGAACTCAATACCAATTTCCCAAATAAGATGAGAAATCACAATGTAAAAAAATAAATTTGAGTATTCGAAACCAATACGATTTCACAAATAACAAATAATTTTCTTTCGTATTTGTATTTGGGAAAGTTTTATGGTCATTATGAAAAAGTGAAAATTTGATATGGATTCCGCATGACTTCCTTCTACGACTATTTAAATTATGCTTATTTTTTCTGCACTTCATTTAAACTTATTTCCTCGAATTATTCTAACTCAATTAAGCGATACCCGAAGGCAAGTTACAAATGGCATCAAAACATTGCAAATTTTGAAACTAAATTTCCCGGTCAATCTTTGTCCTACGGGACTCAAACTTCTTGTATTTTTATTTTTTCATAACGAAGTATAAAACTTTGCCAGATATAAATATAGAAACCAGAAGACGACATTAAAAAAGTTAGATTTCATAATTTGTCCAAAATTAATTCTTTTTTAAATTTGACATTGACAAAATATGAATATTTTCGTCATTTAAAATACTTCTGTATTTTTGTTGCACCGTATTTAAACTTGCTTCCTCGAGTTATTGACATTAAATTACATTAATTCCATTATCTATCGGAAAATAATTATAGCAAATCATCTATTTACGACATCTCTAAGAGGTCACCTTTTAAGAGATCTCTATTTTTGGGAACATAAACAAACATTGGTAGTGAACATCATCTTTTTAAGACCACCACATGTAAAATCCTCTAAAAGCATGAATGGTTGCATTTAATGAAGGACCCATTACTTTTAATAAGGAATGTAACATTAATCTTAATTATACATGTTTTTGATGTGTGTGCCAAAATAGTGATAACCGTACTTCTGTTGCTTTAGAAATGTGTGAAATTAAAAAAATGGATACTATACAACAAAAATGTTATTATATTCAGATACACACCTTTTGAACACGTCTGAAATTCATTATTCTGCTCAACATAATTTGTCTGCATAAAATATTAAATAATATTAAAAAATCAAAAGCTAAGTCGAAGTAGAAACAGTCATCTCTTCTAAACCATTTTAATTGAAGTAAACAGACGTTCGCCTTATCGTAAAGTAAACACCTATTTTTCAAACAGCGGATGAAACGGGAAAGAGGGAATTGGTGGGGGAAGGCAGCGAACGAAATAACACTTTTTCGAGCTGGGGATGAAATGAGAAAGGACGAAACGATACTAAGCCAATAAGACAAGATCTGGTATTTTACTTTATTATTTAATTAGTCATCATAAATTTAAAAATTATTTTAATTTTTATTTGTTTTTACATTTTTATTAAATTGTACTTATAAGTATTTTATATTTCAGTTGCTAATTATTATGTTACTTTAATTATTCATTATTTTAATCACTATTTTTTATTTTAATTATTAAGTTTTTTAATA